GGAGAGAGGGTCATCAGCGTTGACCTTCCCTCCACCCAGGACTTGTGCCGGCAGGTCTGGGGTCAGAAAAAGGGGCAGCTAAGCAACTCAGCATTTCCCACGCGTCCTGGACACACACTGTTTACACTTTTACCTCCAGGTCAACAATGCAGACTGCGATTTGTAATAAAAACAATCGGCAGAGAGGGAGAGACAGAGACAGCGTCTTCCTTCCCCTCCAGGCTAAACACAATAAAAACCTTAAAGTTAGCTTCATACTGTGAAACAAAACAAGCACATCTGCACTCACACAACTTGTTTTTTTCATTCTACTTTTTCAAAAGAAAACTGAACATATATATATTTGTGTTCCTGTTCACCCGTAAATAATCCATTGGGTGACACAAGCAGCAGGTGTTACGTTTGGGGGAAAATCACTTCTTTTTTTTATACAAAGCACCATTTAATTTTTTCTCAAAAGCCTTGACTTTTTCTTCTGAAAAACAATTTGAAGAGTGCATTTTGCATTCATTCTGGATACCCTTGTCTTTTTTGTTGTTTTTTTACATTTGGGCATGCGCATGTTGAAGGGAATCCCTCAGGGAGCGGGAGAAATCTCCCAGCTAGGAGAAACCGATGTTGGTGGTTTAGGAGAGGAACCAGCTCGGGCTTCACGATGAGCCTCCACAGCTTTACTTCCCATATCAACGTCCTGCTGATCCCCACTCCTCATCTACAAAAAGATTTGTGTGTACATTCAGCTCCCAGCTCTATCAACAAACTAACAGTGTGTCAAATGCCTCAGTGTTGCCTTTAAAGCATTCTGCTATGGCCATATCGCTGTAATAGAGCCCTACATGGCCAGATGAAAAGACTTCTCAAGCATAGCTAAATGCTTCTATTCCTGCGGCAGGCAGTGGGGGTGTAACAATAGCCGGGCGTTCAGACCGCCTCGAACTGATGGGTTAGTCAGGCGACTGATGTATTCTGACAGACACAGACAAGCAGGAGAATTGTACAATTTATCAAAAAGGCTGTGTCTCTCCCTCTGTCAGCTCCTGACAGGCATGTCTGCGGCTGAGAAAGGGCAGGTATCAAGCAACTCCGTTTGAGGTCGTGAAATCAGGATCTGGGAGGCGATGCGTCTCCAAGTCTCAGCGGGAGCGGCTTCCAAAGAGCGGGGTTTCAGGAATCGGCTCGTGCCGAACGGCGTGAAAACACCTCAAGCTCGCCGCGAAGTCGACCCACTGTTGCTACAAATCAGCTTCCCTCGACTTGTCATCCGTTTTGTTCTCGCTCGGCGTCTCTGAGCCCTCAGACCTTTCAGTCGCCTGCTCCATTACTCCTCAGCTGAGCCGGCACGGCCCATCAATCCTGCTGACACCATCAGTGTTTTACAGGCCTGCATTAGGCCTCCCTCACGTTTCCGTTCATTATCATTACAGGCTGCAGGTAGTTGATGTGTACAAGAGACACATGCCGGTGAAATGGGATCTCTTGACCGGGCTGTTTGTGCTTTTATTCTTCACAAAAAGTTTTGTGGCTTTCCGAACTTGCACGCCAAATGTGACAAATAGATACAACCAAGATAGAACCATGAAAGACGGTTGAGTATTCGTCAAGTGAGTCATTTTTGTGCTGATATCCTGCTGATCACTTTCACTTTTCTGGTAAATGATTTTATTGAAATCAGACTGAGAAGAACGCATCAAGTCGTGAACTCTGACAGACCCTCAAGGAGTTTGGATGAGAAACAAGCCCACAGCTTCACAGAGCCCCTACCGTATGTGGCAGTGCTTCTTTAAATGTTCCTACTTTGACTCGCATCAGATCCACCTGGAGTGTTTACTGAAGAAAAACTCAAATCTTTTCCAACAGTTTCGGTTAAAGTACCAGTAGAGTTTAGAAAACGTCACCGACGGGTTGACAGCAAAGGCTTTTTTTTTTCTCCCCTCCTTTCATCTAAAGGTTCGCGCCGCCAGGCGTGCGAATACTGACAATTTAGAGAAATCGATTAAGTGAACTGTCACATTTTTGGACTGTGCAGTGAAGTGCCAACACACGTAGTTTAGAAAAAAGCCAGGATGTTTTTACTGCAAGGTGGCGGTTTCATTCCCCATCTAGGCACAGAAATACATTTATTACTAATAAAATATCACAACACTCACAAAATCAAACATCTAAAGTATAAATAGTGGGGGAAAAAAATGCATCAGAGACTTTTATTTTATAGGAAGTTGTATCCTAATAAATATAGGGTCGATTTATTGAAATCGACCTTATGGCGGTGCCAAAAAGTGTCATGGTTGCTGTTTGCTCTGGATTTCTCCACTTCTCTTTTTCTCCCTCGCTTCTCTGAGACGGTTGTCGCTTCATATTTCATTCATCAGTCTTTATTTTTCATACACAGCGAAGGCAACACAAAGTGCTTCAGATCATCTTCTGCAAAGTTTTGTTCTCTTTCTGTGCCTTTAAAGCCATGCGGACGCAGACAGAGGTCATTTATTTTGCTTGTGCGCGCAAAACATTTCACTTCAATCTGAAGCAAAAAAGAAAAGAACGAGAGAGACAGCAGGTTGCACTCACTTTGTTCACCACCTTGTTTCATTCTTCGATGTTAATGAAAAGCAGGTTTACAATGAATAAATGTAAATATATATAGACAGACAGACAGACAGACAGACAGACAGACAGACAGACAGACAGACAGACAGACAGACAGACAGACAGACAGACAGACAGACAGACAGACAGACAGACAGACAGACAGATAGATAGATAGATAGATAGATAGATAGATAGATAGATAGATAGATAGATAGATAGATAGATAGATAGATAGATAGATAGATAGATAGATAGATAGATAGATAGATAGATAATAAATATATTCTCAGTGTTGATTTGTTTTATTAGGTCGTGAAATAAAACAAATGAATTTATTTATCAAATAGATTGGCACTACAATAAGTAGCTAAAATTAAGATGCGTCATTTGGGGCATTTTTTGACCTACAGAGCCACCATGTGGCAGAAAGAGGAACGACACCCACATTGATCAGGCATGTCCGACAAAACAGCCTCAAAATTGGTTAAATCCCCTGAAAATGTATGCTGGCAGCAATAACTTTCACCCAATTATTTTTCAACCTCAAACTGCATCATGTGTGGATTATTGATATTCACAGCCGACGGGTCTCAAGCCCCCACCAATTAGAGTTAACCGTCAAATAATAATAATAATAAAAAAGCAGCAGTCCGTTTGTGCGCTAGATATCTTGTTTCTCAGTGAGTGTGAAATGAGAAGGGGGCCAGGCGATGACACTGACCTTCACAATCCACAGAGCCTGTAATTAGTCGTGTCCCTGCCGTAAGCAGGCTGCCTTCCCTCTACGCTTAAAAGGAAACTAATACAATCACTCGCCGAAAAGACTGCATGCTGGTAGCATTTCTTGGGCGCATAAAGGTCACCCTCCACAACACAAACAGCGAGAGTGGAGAAATCGAGGGATAATTAAGGAAACTGTCGTAATTAAGAGCCGGGAAGAGGAGACTTGGGAGGTTTCAGCAAACTTGGTTGGCGTGACTCAGCAAGAAACCGTCCCCGTAGTCTTCCTCGCAGAAAGAATGGGAAGGAAAATAGGCCTGTGTGAATAATTCAGTCACTTTCTACTCTTTAAAGAGCAGCAATGTTGAGTCCAGGAGCTGCTCTGCTGACAGATTCTCCCACCTGAATCTCTGCATCTCCTCCAAAGTCACTGCCAATCGCTGTAGGTCTGCAGATGTGCCAAAAACTCTCTGTTTCCAGACGGCACGTTGAACAGGCCCAGATGAAATGTTGGAAACTTGGGGTTTTGTTAAATAACCTAAGCCTGCTTTAAACTTGCTCAGCGTTCTCTCCGACCTGCCTGCTGTGTTTACCGTTTCTGTGACAGATTATCTGTATCTATCATGATGTTAAATCTTCTTTTGTCTTCATTATTAGTGGTTAACCCTGACTGACACTTTCAACAGACTGTGTTGGGAAAACAGAGTGTCTTCGGTCAGAGGCTTCCTCAAATTCACTGTAATACAGACAGCTACAGGAGATCTTTCCTGCCAACGGCCGTCACGACCTGTAATAACTATGTGAATAACTTCAAATCATTATGAGGCAAACATTGAATTTCCCTCGGGGAACAATGAAGTATTTTTGAATTTACACTTGAAATGACTGAAAGATTATTTGATTATTTGATCTATTAAGGCTGTCACAGAAAGAGGTAAATCCACATGTATGTAATCCTTTTTAGATGCGTTGCTGTTGTCTCTCCATGTTGTTTGTTGTTGTGGTTTCTCAGTTTTGTTTTCTCTCTTTCTGCAGGTGCAGAAGCAGACTTCACTTCCTCTCCATGCTTCTTTCTCTCCACTTATCTCCTTCTTTCCCACTTTCCTCTTTCTCTGTGGCTCAGTCAGAGCAAATCCTCGTCTTGAAGTTTGCTGTTCCACCGAGACGCAACGTGAAAAACGTTCGACATTCATGCTCTTTTAAAGGCGTCACATAAGCAGGCTCACGTAAACTTTAATGTTCATAACTTATGATAATCGCATAATAAACCCCGCAGGGCCTCGGCTACGTGCACGAGACATTAAAGTTTACGGCAGCGCTGAAGCACCGAGAGTCCTCAAGAACGGCATCGCCTCTGAAATGCTGCACGCCTGCACTGTAAATAGATGGGATCGCACCCAAAACGGATGTATTTGTGTTGACAGTTTCTGACAGCTTAAGGGCTACATAGTGTCTGCGAAGGCTGTATCACTCAAACAGAAGTGTTTTCTTTGCAACCACGCCAAGCACAAGTCCTTGTCTGGGTTGAGTTGTTGTTGTGCACACACACACACACACACACACACACACACACGTGACGCAGGCGGCCTGGTCCGCGTCAGGCTCAGCGAACATGTGTTGCACCTCTGAAATGACAGTGTAATTAACCTCTCACGGTGGTGGCAAGGCGGGATTCAGAGCAAGACCCCGTGTACCTGTTGGTCCCCGATGATTACGGCTGCCGGCGGACACGGGGTCAACCCAGAGCATCACCAAGGCAACAAGGAAGGCCACCTGCCAAGGCCAAGCTGACCTTCCCCTCAGCTTCATCCTGAGGCAGAGAGAGAGAGGAGGGGGTTAGGGGGCAAAGAGGGAGAAAGCAGAGGAGGAGGCATTCAGGAAGAGGCTGGAAAACAACCAACAAATGCAGCTTTCCAAACAAACAGTGGAAGAGGTGAGCTGCTAAAGGTCAAAGGCAGAAAAACACAACCTCAAAAAACAGACGCGACCCGAGGAAACTGGTTTTTCTAGCTCACACAAGTGCAGTCGTATTTCTGTGTACACCTGGAGCATCAGTGGCAGCATTTCTTTCTGATTTTTTTTTTTCAAATCATATTTCACTATCATGTTTTGTTAAATCTACACTGATGTTGCAAAAAATAAATACATGGAATAAAAAAATGATGTAATTATCAGTCATTATGAGGCAAAACCAGTAAAGCCATTCAGCCCAGTCAGACTAACATTTCATATTAATGAATATTAATCGATATCTGAAGACAATAAATGAAAATATCACCCTGTTTTCAGTGAGTTTTGCTTGTAATGTCACGTCCTAAAGTGATATTTTAATCCAAAAAAACTATCCTGAAACTGCCTGAAGTTTTTTAGATTTTGTCCTCTTAAAACTACAAACTTAAATGCATTGCATTCTGTGGGTCTTTCAATAGGCTGACAGGTCAACAGACTGTTGAGCATTGCATAAAAGCAGAAGGAAAAGTATCCATGGCCATCAGATTTTTTAATAGTAAGTTGAAGTTTGGGTTAAACCAACCTGTCAAACATGAATTATTATTATTTATTTGTTTTTTTGTTTTTTTAATCAGCTCAAGTTTATTTTTAATATAATTTTTGCAGATGAGTCACTAAGCAGAGACAAACCTGACCAACATGAACGTCGCATGATGTCGCCTCACCTGTCTGTCGTCTGTCTTCCACTGGCCGGGTCCTCACGGCGTGAAGCTCATGGCAGCGTTCACTCGCAGCTCGGATCTCCTCCTCTTCCTCACCTTAATCACAAGACCCCTCTGGAGGAAGGAAAGCACAAAGACACCCCGTCAGAGAGCACAGTCTGCCCTGGGGTTGGTCCACGGCCTTGCACCGAGGTCCACCCACACATACACAGGCGCCCCACAAATACATATTCATACACACACACACACACACACAGGGCTGAAGATGTGAAGGCCCAGATTCTGTCAGATCCATTGTTTACAATGAGTTCACCTACCCCCGGGCTAAATGTGATCCCCACTCTAAACATCACACACAGCTCCCCCCCACCACCACTGTCCCGTCCAAACGCTCACTGTCTGTCATGTGCACACGCACGCCCTCTTTTGCAGAAATACACACACCCACTCCCAAAGACACACACACACACACACGCCTGTACTCTGTGGACACATAAAACAACATGCATAATAAACTAAAAGTCCAACTGATTTCCAAAATATGTGTACATAAAAGGAAAGCTGCAGAGGGGCCTATTAGCTGAAACATTTCACAGCTAATCAAATATGCCATAGAAACCAGTGATGACACACACACACACAAACGCACACACACACACACACAAACGCAACGATAAATTTGCACAGTATTTGCAAGGTAAATTCAAAGCCTGTCAGAGGACAGCAGGAGAGACTCTTCCTAATTACAACTGAGTGACAGTCTGTGGTGCAAGTGTGCTATCAAACACACACACACACACACATGCACGCACACACGCAAGTGCATGCACAAGGTAAATTGCCCTCCTGCAATAATAGTGTGTCAACACGCCTCTCTTTGCAAAGGGGAAAGTCTGCAGGCTTCAAGAAAAGACAACAGTCACATTAATAACAAAGTCGTCTCCACTCCTCAAACCTTCATCATTCATCAAATTTCATTGAAATGCAACTCAGTCCACTAATATTATCCTGGGAAACTTCTCTGAAAGGACCGCGATTCGTTTTCAAACATCGGTGTAGTGCCACTGCCCCCTAGTGACGGGAGAGTGCAACAGCGAGAACCACAGGTCTGCAAAGGAGCCAGAAATAAAGATGCAAACTAACAGGGCAATGAAATAATCATCTGAAACAGCTTCAGTGAAGTCGGATCAAAAAGGAGAAAATGTTCATTATTTCAGTATAATTACAAAATATGACTCCTATATTCTTAGAGATCACACAACAGCCACACATTCGCAGTGTCTGATGTTCGTGATCAGAGTTCAAACTTGTGTATTTGTGTGTAACAGTTTGAACCTGGTACAGTATGTGAAAGTATGCAAGGTGCATGCACTCTGAGTAGTGATTAGGCATGCTGCATGGCTGCACAGAGGCCTATTTCTTATTCCCTTTTGAAAGACTGAGTCAGGGCATGCATTTTTATCAGCTTTGTTCTGTGATACACTCATTAAAGGAGCCCAGCCGTGCATGTGTGTGTGCGCGCATGTGTGTGTGTGTGTGTGTGCACGCTGCTCGTTGGGAACAGGAGAGAGAAAATGTCCCGTCATCGGAAGCAAAATTGTAACCTTTGCAAAGTCTTCAACAAAACTCAGAGAATGATTTTAGACTTTTTTTTAATGTATTTTGTAAAAAGTAAGTCACGGGAGATAATACACGAACATAAACCTCCAAACCTGCAGGGATCAGTTAGATATGCAAATATAACAGCGACATATTACAATAAATAAAACACCTTTCGATGCTTGATAGTTAAAAATATAAAATGTAAATTAGGGATGTCTGTGGAAGGCAACGCTGTAGAAGTCGTTGAACGTTTATAGATTGAACAGTCACTCTTTATGCAGAAAGACAATTTAGCTGCTATAAGGTGTAACTACTGTATTAACACATTTGAACATATAATTTGCTCACATCTCTTACCCACAATCTAGTAGAGAATCCCCAATGAAATAATTTTCAGCATTATGGAGAAATATATTCTTTGTAATGAAATTACTAGGAGCTTTTTGAGGCGAAATATTAATGAAAAAATTGAGACTGTGAATATGGTTTTTCTGTCCCAAATACATGTCAGACATAAACACAAACATGAACTTTATTTAAAGGAAAAAACATATCTTATCTTTTTTTTTTTCAATCCAAAGAGCCATTATCCTATCACTGCGAGTAAATAAATGCTACCTCGAGCTTAAACACCTACAAGAACCCTCTAAAAGGCTAACTCATCAAGTCTAATAAATACCTACAGTTGGAAATCCGTATGTTTCGTTAAAAGTACTTTTACAACAAGCAAACCAGTCAGTTTTCAACCCAGCTTTCTGCTACATGTTATTGAACACACTTTATATTTAACTTTTTTTTTGTCAATTTGTCAAGCTGATTTGTAAATCCCACATCATTTGTTGTTTGCTATTAGCAGTCTGAAAATAAACTGATATCATTTGATGTGACAAAGAAAAACACGTTGTTGGAACCATAACCAGCACACCTTGTATCATTTGTATCCTTTGTAAATTGAACTCTTAACACAGAAAACAGACAAAGATCACAAGCTGCTTAATTCTCCATATTCTTTAACCAAAGTTATTAAGCGCTGGCCCCCCTGGCTAATGGACCGCTCTGCATATCAGGACATTTTTACAATTGGACCTCAACACAACGCCATGCCCACAAAATTTGACATCACTGGCATCTCATACATCACTGTCTATAGAAACACTCTGGCAGCAATCATGTCACTTTTCTCCAGGCTTGTAATCAGAAATCAATGGACAGACAGTAGCTTATTCTGTGTTCGCATCAAATTGGAAAAGTCCTTATTTTCATTGTGCAGCTGTGCTGCTGCAGGAGCGATTAGCTTTGCTGCACGGCCGTATGTCAACGTCATGAAAATGCGTCCGCTTTTCTCTGAAATAATCTGAATTTACCGTTAAAAGGACATCAAGGTGAGTTTTATTAAATCCTCTCATCAACCAGAACATGTAAGGTTAACGGAGCTGTGGTATCTGATGGTAGTTGTAAAGCTTTGAATCTAAAACACAAGTTGGAATGTCTTTATGTTAAAGGGTGTCAAACACACAGACACACAAATCCTCACGCACTCCAGCCAACTGAGCACAAACATGCTCAAGATTATCTGAGCACATCAAGCCTCACCCCATCTAAAATTATCCCTCCTGCTACATCACCCTCTCCATCGCCGCGCGTCTCAGAGGGCTGAGAGGCTGAGCCGTGTCGTTTCTCCCAGTAATCACGCAGGACTGACACGCCGGCTCATTGGCAAGCAACCAGGCAGATCTACCTTCTCCACAAACACACACCCGCGTGCGCCGCGCGTCTCCCGCCGTCGCACAGCATACGCGCGCGCACGCGCGCACGCAGCTACACACGAATGTGCTAAATTGCTCCTGCGGATGCAGACTCTGACCTCATCTGCCGCATCAAGAAGCAGGTTTGCTAAACAGTTTTTGTCTGATGCGGCTGTCGCCGGCATCCTGCCCCGTTTGTCACTCAGAGAGATGATATCATCTGTTAGGATAGGACAGGAAGTTTCATATCAGCAGAGCTGTTGGAGACAGGAAGCGCGTCGTTACTGGATGACCTTCGTGGCACACGGCTGTTGCCGATGTTTTCATTTAGCTCTAGATTTAAAGCTTTTCTTTTTGTCTTTTTTTTTTTGCCCACACAACACTGTGAAGCTGATCGATCAGCTTTAGTTGATCATTTTCACCTAAAAAAAGTGAAATTACAGAGAAGAACTTAAGAGTCCTGAGAAAGACCAAGAGTTTTTTAAGCTGAACACAAAGTATGAGTTCTACTGTATTTACATGCTTTAAGTAAAACACCTGAAACTGTTTCATGTTTCAACAAGGTAGATGGTGAGAAGAGGAGCAAGTGGGCATCAGAACTATCTTGTTTTGTTTGTTTGTTTGTTTGTTTGTTTTACACGTAGTCCTCAATGTGTTTTGCGTATTAAAGTAGAATTTAAATCTGTTTCGGGGAAATAAAGCAGGGGGACAAACTCCAGATGAAAATAAAAAGAAAAGAATCTCCGGCTCAATTGCAGCGCGAAACACGAAGTGAAAACGTAGAAGTCTG